ATATCAATCAGATGAGTATTAATGTAGTTTTCCCAATTACATTTAAAACACATTAACACTTTGTGTTAAGATTTTTTTTACATCTCTTAGATGTATCATATATTTTAACATTTTATATACATATATATATATATAATATGTATTATATTGTATTATTTAAATATAATATAATATATATTTTATATATATATATCATATTTCATATCATATATTATATACATATATAATATGAAATTAAAAGAAAATTATAATATGCAACCATGAACCAATATTTAATAATAAAGAAATTAAAGATTTAAATGTAAAGAGAGAATAAAGGATATAAAATTTGCAAAAATGTTAATAACCATCTGCGTGTATTTAGGCGACTAGATAAGGAGTTAGGGAATAATAAGAATATGGGATGAAAAGGTCGCTACATGAAATCGTTGTAATCATCGTAAACAAAGTCGCTGTATTCACTCAAAAGAGAGTTGTCACCTTCAATTTTCAGCTTTGCTTTTCCCTTGCCCTTATTCTTTTTCGCCTTTTCGCCTTTCTCAATTTTTTGTTTCTCAATCAACAAATTATCGATCAGTGTTTTAACTTTCCTCAAATGCAATGAAGGTACTGTAAATAAAGTTAATATAAATCCATACATATTTATATAAAAATATTAATCATTTAATATATATAAATTTGTTTAAAATTAGTTCATGGTGAAGAAGAAATAAATCTATATTTTTAAAATATTTTTTCAAAATATATTTTACTTTGAAAAATTTGTATGATCGTAATACTTTATAATCCATAATTTTAATGTAGTGTACTTACAATTGAGGGCAACAGATTTAATAAGTTCTTCTGCAAATGGAGGAAATTCAGAATGTTTACCAAATTGATTTAACTTTTGGGTAAGTACACTTCCATACTGCTCAAATTCTTCTTTTGTGTTGGGTACTGTGGTATCCAGGCTCAACACAGATTCTTCTGTCACACCTAAAACAAAAGATATATTAAAATTTCTATCAAATTTATTGCAAATTAAATATTTCCTGAAAATGTTGATTACCAAAATTATTAAATAATATATGACTACTAATTACATTAAAAAATATATTTGCACACAGATCACATTTTAATTTTACAAATTAAATTAATAATAATAAAAATAATTTTTAATTGACTAATATTAAAATTTTATATATAGAATCATATTTCCAAAGAAACATATTCCCTAGGTAAAATGTTATTTATAACTTCTGATTATACAAAATTTTATATTATAATAAAAAGATAAATTTTGACTGTGTTATTATTAAAAATAATATCTATCAGGAACGGTACGGGAAATTAATGTTGATAAATAAGACACATCTGCATTACTTTTTTATGAAATAGAAATGTTTATTTTTTATACAATAACAATTTTGTATTTACCTCAAGAATTATATTGATTCATTGAAATACATGATTTATAACATCCCTGGTACAGTTCCTGACACCAATTTTTGTAATTAAATTAAATTTAAAAATATGGGAATGTCTGATAATAAACTTGTAACTATTGCAATTGTAATTTTCAACTTCAATAGTATTAAAACAAAAACAGAATATTTTGTTCATATAAGATATTTTTCAGGATTTTTTATATTTTACTTTTAAATTTACTATAACTATTTTACTTTAATTCCAATATATATGTATATAAAAATATTTCATATTGTCCTTTTAAAAATGAGAAGATTGTTAGATATCTTATATTTTATTTGCTATATGGAATGTATTTAAAAATTACATAATAATTTTAATTTTTACACCAGTAGTACTCAAAATACTGACAAATATACTGTATATTAGTTTATGAAAGATAAAGTTTTAAAACATAATTAAGTCATTAAAAACTTGCATTAAGGCATGAATATTAAATCAACTCTTTGTGATCCATTATACCTTTAATAAATACCAATATTTAAATTAAAAGATTTCTTTAAAATTTTTCTTTTCCATGACTGCGAGAAATAAAACATTTTAAAAATATAAAATTTATATAAAATTTTTAATTATTTTAAATTAAAAACGTAAATTCAAGTTTAAATTTCACATTAAAAAACTTAAATCTAGATGTAATTTTTTAATTTAAAAAATATGAAATTCTGCAATCTCAAATAATTAATACAATTTAATATCAGTTAAATAAAAATTTGAAATTGAATTATGCATAAGAGCAATAAAAAAATTTTATTACAAAAACAATTTGAGATTCAAATCTACACTTAAAATTAAACAAGGTTAAAACAAATAAAAATATTCATTAATCTAATATTTTTATAGCTATTAATCTAATATTTTTCTTATTATAATTTAAATCTGTATCAATTTCATATATAATTATAAAATAATTATTAGTTTTGCAATGGTAAAATAAAATACTTAAAAAATAAATTAATACATATTTCCTAATTGCTTGTAAGTAAAATACTAATTTTAATACTTTAAAAAAAGATAGCATTATTTTTATCACCTTATCAAATATTAGCAAAATGACTACATAGTTTTATAAGTTATTTAAAATTCATATTATTAAATAAAAATAGAAGTGCAAAGAGTTGATAAGTAAAAGTTTTTAGTGAAGTCATTTCTTCTCAGTTTTGTGTGGCTTGCGATGAGAAAAATCAACAAGGTTGGACAAACCGAAAGTCTCCATGGCAAGACGTAGATCAGCTTCTTCTTGGAGCCTTTGACGCCTTAATTGTTCTGCTCTCCTTTCCTCTGGTGTCAAGGCTTCCTCTTTTTCTTTAGCTTTTCTTTCTGCCTCTGCCCTTGCCTTTTTCTATGAATAAAAAAATTGGAAATATTTTTAGTAGTAACATAATAAATGATGATAACAAATTGTTATACTAATAAACTATATATTAATAAAATCAGGTAGACAAAAATATTTAATAGTAAGAAAGTAACATAAATGAATCATATGAAAGTAATATAAATTAGTAATTAAATATAGTTAAATTTAAAAATGATAAGGTTGTATTTATATACAATACAATTATAAACAAGCAACCAATAAATGTATTAAAGATTTACTTTTCAATCACTAATTAAACAATTTAATTGAACAAGAAAATATATTCAAAAAATTGAATTAAAAATTAAGAACTATACCTCACGTTCTTCGATTCTTTCTGCCAAAGCTTTTTTTGGTTTTGGCTTAGCCTTAGGCACTTCTATAGGTTTTTCTATGTCTTTCTTTTCTCCTTCGACATCTTCCCAACTATCCTGTTGATTGATTCTTTTTTTTAAATCATTGTACAAACACTTAATTTTCTAACTGCTTAATTTATTTTAACTTGATATTTGAGTTTAAATTAATTTGTCTTATATCATTTTGAATATATTGCAACAATTTCAATTTTATTAAATTTTATTTAAAATGAAATATTATGCAAACATATTTGTAATATTAATTTAAATTGAGATAAATTTAATCAATTTATTTTCAGTGTATAGTATTCAATTAAAAAATTTATAAAACACATTAGCAGTTAATAAAAAATATGTAATTACTTGTTATCAAATATAAATGTAAATTTTAACTGAAATTATATTTCACCCATTTTAATTTTTATTCAATTTAAATTCAACAATCATAGTTGTTCAACAATAACCGATTGTTGCAATAACCAATTCGACTCGTGTTGACTAGCTCTATGAAAGGTTAACTATACTTATAACTTGTCTTAACGGAAGATTTCGAAAGTAGCTCGCACAAAATTAAAATAGAAAATTAGTAAAACAGAACCTTGACGTCTTCATCTTCGTCTTCGCCCTCCCACTTGTTGGATCTGATAGCGAGGTTGAATTTCGCCTCAGCATTTCCGACATCTGTAATGTTGAAGGTTAAAAGTGTTTCACAGTTTCAAGTCAACAAATGATCACAATATTATTAAATGTTTAAAAATTGATTTATACGTACCCCATTCATCATCCATGATGTATTTTGGATTACTTGCGTACGATTTCGTTCGAAAATGAAATAAAATCTCCTAGAACTAACGTGGTCGAACGGATCACAACTGGAATCAAACGAGCCATACTGCGTGAGGAAAGCGTATGCCTTTCTTGCGAGATAGTGGTGGTGAAACTGAAATTATGTATGTTGGAGATTGGATACTCTGTATTAAAAAGAATATCAGACATAGCGATTATATAGCAGGAATAATTATTACTATTTTAATTGGCAAAATTTTATGGTAGAAATCAATATCGCAAAAACAACGAATGCGTTTAACAATAATCGAATAATATTTAGTGAAAAATATTTTATACAAGAAAAATTGTTTATAAAGTTTCATTATTTTCTTTTCTCCTTCTTATAAATTGTAATCTTAAAAAGATTATAAGCAGTTTTTTGTAAACTTAAATGACTTTTTTTTAATTAGGTATTGTTCTTAATATTTGAATCATGCTGTTATACAATAAACATTAAAACTATATATAGTAAGCATAAATACTTATATTTCATGCTTATTGAGTCGTGCAAATAATATATATTTAACAGATAAACACTAACCTAAGATTATTAATTAGAGACTTTTCAACAATTTCTACAAATAGTAAAAATAACGTATGTAACATTATACATACATATTGTTTAATTGTAACTTAAGTGTAATTTAAAAATACATCGATAATTAGTTGAAGTAGGATTATGAATATGTAACGTTTTACTGTTAATATAGAAATTTCAATTTAAGTTTGGTTTGTTTGAATGAGTATTTTATTAATGACAGTTATTGTATATCATAATGTATACAATGTTACACATTTTGCATAATTTTTGTGAGCTACTTGTTTTTAAAATTAATTTATGAAAAAAGAAAAAGGAATCAAAATATTCCAAATCACCTTTACATGCATATATATTATATTTTACCATACTTTAATCATAATTTCTTTAACACATATATATAAAAAATATACATCTTTATCTTTTATTTTTTTTTTTTTTTTTTAGAAAAATGAACAGTATTGAAGGGTATGTTACTTGTCCATTTAACAAATCACATAGAATTATAAATCATCGGTTTCAAAAACATTTGTCAAAATGTCGTAAAAATTATCCAAAAAATACTAAAGTTGTATGTCCATTTGATGCATCACATATGCTAAATCCAGAAGAATATGAGGTATGTTCTATACTATGCTTTTTTGTTGTATTGTTTAATTAACATGTATTTTCTATTTCTTAAATTTAATAATAGAATGTAATATTGAAAAATTAGGATACATTCTTTATTTCTAGTTTTAATAGTATTATAATTCATTGTTGCAGAATCATCTTTCAATATGCTCAACCAGTGGAAATATAAAATGTTATCAATACATATTAGATACCGATCGAGAAGTTGGAACAATTTCATTAGAAGAAGCATGTAACACACAGACCAATTTCATTAATGAAGACTGGTCTGGAAATAACCCAACATATGATCCAAAAGTTACAATAGAAAGTAAAAATATAATTAGACCACCAATAGGTATGTCAAAATCAAAGAAGAAGCAATTTAAGCAGTATGAAAGAAATAGAATATTATCTCTTGAAAATAAGAATTCCTGTGTTGATAGTAGTAGTACTCATACAAAAGTTATGGAAAAGCAGATAGACTTTGAACAACCATTACAAGCTCCTAAAAATCTTACTAAAACAGTATTATATGATCAAGATTTTGCTAATAATCTTATTTGTAAATTAAATAAACTTTGTATAAAGGAGGGCAATAATTTATCAGAAAAGGATGACATGTCCATCGTAACTACCAAAAGTTACATGGAAACAGATTTCGAAAACCATAGTTTAAAAAATAGTATTATTGATACAAGTAATGTTTCTTCAATTTCAAAAAATATTTCTAAACAAAAAGATGTAGAAAATGTTCTTAATGAAGAAAATGATGCTGTTGCATTATTTCAAAATATTTTGGAGGTTGAAGAAGATATATTTAAAGAAAATAATTCTAAAATGCAAAAAGACTGTAAAGAGATTAATATTCATAAAGATGTCCATCAGCCAAATTTGAATAAAGGAAAGAAAAATGAAGTTTGGAAAATTAATCAGTTAAATCCAAGAACAGCAAAAGGATTGTATAGAGAGGTAAACAAAATTAGCACTGGAAGAGGATTTACTACAGCTTATCAATATTTGAACTCTAGTATGATAAAATCAGAAAAAGGAAATGAAAATTCAGAAGACTTCAGTTCTATTTATGGTTATGACATGCAATAGAATAGATTGTAACAATTGCTGTAACAATGTTGTTAGTTTTATTGCAATATATTGTATTCTTCTTATTTTTACAAATCTTTAAGTATGTACTCATATCTAAATAATTAATGGAACTAGTAACTTTTAATTGACAATAAAATTGTATAGTTTTCATAAAGATCTCTTCCTTGTAATTATTAAGTGATATTTTTTATTATCGTATACCCGTTAATTAATAAATATAAATAAAAAAATTATACTGAACAGAAATTATGAAACAACAATTATGTAAATTAAATTCTTAACTTAATAAATTATTTCAAATATATTGTAAATATAAAATTAATCATAAGTATCATTTGTTAAAAAATATGTTTAGAAATATATTACTGTATGTTGGTAATTATAGAATAATATTTAATTACAAAACTTTTTTATGAACTTAACAACATATAATAAATATAAAATTATAAATTCCATAGCAAAAATTTAATTGAGCAATAGTTATGAATGAGTAATAAAGATATAATTTGCTTACAAGGAGAGTGCAAGTCCTTCAAGACACCAATTCAGTTGGAACTTTGCAGGTTTGTAGATTACGTAATGCAGTTCGAGAATATATATCATTATAGTCGCAACTACTCAATAGTTTTTGAAATATTTGTGATTAAAGTTTTATTATATTTTTACCGCTTGGGATCAGCGCCATCTATGATTTTGGACCACATGCTCGGAAAAGTAATAGAAATATAGAATAGGCGAGGAGGTCGTCGAAGAGTTGGTCACGTGGTAAACGAGGACAGAGAGGGGAAAGTAAAGGATAGAATGGCTCCGGCAGTGAAAAATTATTAATTACTCAATTTTCGTAAACAATTTGTGAACTTTTATAATTCCATTGCAAAGCTGGAACTTCAGGCTACATTCTTATATAATTTTCGTAAAGAATTTAACTCTAAATTGTTAGTTAATAATTTTTGTTTGATGGCATCTATGATTTCGTAACGACGACCATCCCGATCTTCCGTGAGAATATTTAAGACTAAACGAAACTAGAAGCAAAATGTGATCAAAAGTTATATGAGAAGATTCGCAAGAACATTGTCTTTCTAAAGAGGGCACAAAGCATCATAAATTAATTGCGTAGATGATAGTAATTAATGAAAAACCAATGGCGTTTTCGATAATAATTCAAACACCGCGTAGAATAATAATTAATAATAAATTAATTAGGGACAAATCTATATTGAAAAATATATTGGAAAGTTCTTGGAGGATCTGCCTTTACGATGAAATTATAAAAGTTCACAAATTAATCGCAGGAATTGAGTAATTAATTAATTATCCAATAAAACTTTAAAAAGGAACAGTCAGCGCCGCCTATGATTTTTATCTGGAAGCTTGTGCTTCGTTAGTTCCAATAAATAACTATAGGCGGCGCTGAATGTTCCTTTTTAAGGTTTTATTGGATAATTAATTAATTACTCAATTCCTGCGATTAATTTATGAACTTTTATAATTTCATCGTAAAGGCAGATCCTTCAAGAACTTTCCAATATATTTTTCCATATATATTTGTCCCTAAATAATTAATTATTAATTATTATTTTACGTAGTGTTCGAATTGTTGTCGAAGACACCATTGGTTTTTCGTTAATTACTATCCTTTACCCAATTAATTTATAAAACTTTATGCACTCGTTAGAAAAACAATGTTCTTGCGAATCTTCTCATATAACTTTTGATCACATTTTGCTTCTAGTTTCGTTTAGTAATAAATATTTTCACGGAAGGTCGTGATGGTCGTCGTTACAAAATCATAGACGCCATAAAACAAAAATTAATAACTAGCAATTTAGAGTTAAATTCTTTACGAAAATTATATAAGAATGTAGCCTGAAGTTCCAGCTTTGCAACGAAATTATGAAAGTTCACAAATTGTTTACGAAAATTGAGTAATTAATAATTTTTCACTGCCGGGGCCATTCTATCCTTTTCTATCCCCTCCCTGTCCTTGGCTACCACGTGACCAGTACATCGACGACCTCCTTGCCTATTCTATATTCCTATCACTTTCTTGCTTTTTGAGCCCAAATCATAGATGGCGCTGATCGAAACTGCCGAATTAAAAACCAAGTGACCAGTTGGGCGGGAGAAACAAAACAATAAAAGGACATAAATGAGTATAACACATTTTTCTTCGTTTTTTTTACTCTCTTAATAGTTCGTTGAACATGAAGTCACAGATGAAGATGCGTGCTTCTGTTCGTGGTAAAAAGAAAATGAAACTGCCATGGTTATATGTTACAGTACTTTTTATTCACTTTGAAAGTTTCACATATACATGTTAATTGTTAACGACAAAATAAACAATGACATATAGACATTAGAATCTGAGTAGATGTCCGTACCACGGACCGTTGCGAGGAAAAGATGTTTCGTAATACATATCACGTAATAATTGTCATTACAATGACCATATATATATGTACAATATTTATAAACATATGATAAATGATTCTATTCAAATGCATGAGTTATCCTAATAATTATTGACATCTCTTGTCGTGCATTTCCTCGGCTTTCTCTTGTGCTAAACCTAATAAGGAGTTTTTTATTCCCTATTCATTTTCCTTTATATCCTTATCATCTTCAGCATCACCTACTTTATAATTTTGTACTTTCTTCGGTTTCTTTTTTGTATCTCTCAATGTATTTTTTATCCTTTCCTTTATTGCTCTGAAAATATAAATATAAGAGACAATTAATAAAAATTCCTTTCTATAACATAGTTATAATATAAACAATAAACTAACTCTTTCTCTTTCTTTACAACTTGTAATTCTTCTTGAGTTTTTACTTGGTCGTCACATTCCCAATCACTACTGTGGCCTTTCTTCCTTTATTTATTTGCAAGTCCAGGTGGTTCAACAGCTGTTTGTGAGCTTAATTTTGGATCAGTTAAATGATCATGAGCTGATTTGCCTTTACCAGTAAACTTTTTATTTAATATCACAGATTCTTCTTCATCTTACTCTGCTTCCTCACTAAATGATAAAAGATTGAAATCTCTGTAACAAAATTTTTCATTACAAAGAATAATACTACCAGGGCTAAATTCTTCAAACATATATGATTTTTACTTTACTGCTGCTGTTTTAGTTTTTGAATTGTACTTTACTTTTTCACTTTCCTGTACTATTATTTTTGGTATAATATCAGAAAATGGATTGTTCAATATTATAGTTTATATCAATCTTGAAGGATAAAGTGGTCTATTATTCTACAAAACAGAGGAAATATTATATTTATATCAATTCTTAATATATTTTCTTGTAAACATTAAATTTACTTCATCTACAAGTACTTTTTCAAGTTCAAGCATGTTATATACAGTTTCTCCAGTAGAACTAAGAACTAAGAGTAAAGAAGAATTCGGAACCATTGTCATCCTTTCCAGCATTAGACATAGCAATTAAATTTCGCGAAAAAAAAACGTAATCATATATATGAAATTTGTCCTAAAATACATATATCCCATAGTTATTTTTGAATAAAACAGGAATTTATTTTATTTTTAAATATATCCTCACTTTAAATGGTTCTCCATATATGTTACCACCTTCTCCTATACCTGTGGGATCACCATTTTGTGTTATGAATCCTTTGATAATTGTATGAAATATAGTGTCTTCTTAATAATATGTCATTGGAGTTTCTTTTGCCCATAATTTTAACTCAATACTTTATGACAAATATATTAGCTTTATTAATGTGAAATACTTTTAAAATCAAATTTATTAAAATTTATTATTTATTATTGTAATTCAAATTAGAAATTATTTGATATATTAATATAGAAGTCTAGATTTTTAGAAACAGATATACAATCCATTGAAACATTACTAACTAATATTTATTACTTTACCCTTAGTGGCTGGCTCTTGCATATAAATATTACTCATATTTGTAAGTCTCCTATAATAAAAAAATTTCTTCGTCAATAATATTTTACATTAAATTTTTAGTCATTTATAAATCAGTCAATCAAATAGTTCTTTTCTCGATCATCGCTGTTAGGCCACGACTCCATTTGCAAAGCATGAGAAATAAATCTTTAATTAAAGAAGTAATAAAACTTTAATCGTAAATATGTCAAAAAGTATTAAGTATTTGCGGTTATAATGATATATACTCTTAAATTGCATGACGAAATCTACAAACCTGCAAAGTTTCAACTAATCGCTGACCTGAAGGACTTGCACTATCCTTGTAATGCAAACTTGGCGGACATCATTTTTGTGAAAATGACTTTATTATATCAAATGCAAAACTAAATAGATTATAATAATATAACTTATCAATTAGTATTTATTTTATGCATATTTGATTTTAAAGTTTATTATGTTCTTAAATTTTGAAAATAATTATCTTATTGCGGAACATACTTTTAATCAGGTAAAAAATGTGCCGATTTTGAGAACATACCTATCATGTGTTCCGAAGTTCTTCAAAAACCGACTTATACAAGTTCATTCTTAAGTGGTAGCATCAATATTTTAATTTTATCTATTATAGTGTTATAACTGTTATAATACAAATTTTCCATAATGGTAAATATAAATAAATATTAATGTAAGAATATTATTATAGGCAGTATATTAATTTTTTAACTAATTTTTTTTATTAAAATTATAACTGAGAGGTTACATAAATTGCATTGTCATTCATTAATAACAGAATTCTTTAAATAATAATGACAAAGTAATATACACATTTATCGTTAAATTTGTCCTGACAATTTAAGCATTTATTAATTTCCTCATGTAAGTTTATTTATTACTTTTTGTATGAGAAATGTGAATTATTACTATAAACTTAATGAAGCTTATTCTATTTATATGACATTTGAAAATTGATTTCTTTTATAATACCTTTTTCAATATTAAATTGAATATTTTGAATATAAATTTTGCAAGTCAGTATTTCATTTAGGTTAGGTACATTCAAATTTAAATACTGTAGAATCTAAATAGAAGTTTAAATTAAATATAAATTTTGTTCAATATTAAAAGTTATAGAAGTTTGTAAGTATATATTAAATTTTATTGCAATATTAAAATTTCGATATATATATGGAATTGCAATAAAGTTCTAAAAATTAAAAAATCATGTTATTGACATTTGTAACTCGTATTTATGTTTATTTATATTAACAGGCACGTAGATATGATACACGCACAACAATCTTTTCCCCAGAAGGTCGTCTTTATCAAGTAGAATATGCAATGGAAGCTATAAGTCATGCAGGTACTTGCCTTGGCATTTCAGCAGCTGATGGTATTCTACTTGTAGCAGAAAGACGTAATATAAATAAACTATTAGATGAAGTTTATTATTCTGAAAAAATTTACAAATTACATGATGACATTGTGTGCTCTGTTGCTGGTATTACTTCTGATGCTAATGTATTGACTAATGAATTACGTTTAATTGCTCAACGCTATTTGTTACAATATGGAGAACCAATTCCTTGTGAACAACTTGTTTCTTGGCTTTGTGATATAAAACAGGCATATACACAGTTTGGTGGAAAAAGGCCTTTTGGTGTTTCTATTTTATATATGGGATGGGATAAATATTATGGATATCAATTATACCAATCAGATCCAAGTGGAAATTATGGAGGTTGGAAAGCAACTTGTATTGGACATAATTCTGCTGCTGCAGTGTCATTATTAAAGCAAGAATATGCTAATAACAATATCACATTAGAGGAAGCTAAAGCATTGGCTGTAAAAGTACTTTCCAAAACTTTAGATCTTAATAAATTATCAGGAGATAAAGGTAAATATAAGTATATTGTAATTTAAATATAAATTTGTAAATCTAAAATTTGAAATTATGTTTCAACTATTTAACTTTATTTTAGTGGAGATGGTTACTCTTACAAGAGAAAATAATAAAACTATTACAAGAATCCTTCCCATAAATGAAGTTGATGCCTTAATTGCAGAACACGATCGCTTAGAAGCACTTACTGAACAAGTCAAGAAAGAAAAACAAAAGTTATAAAACAAAATATCCAAATATATGTATATCTTGCTTTGATATCATTTACTAGTATTGCCCTGAAATTCTATAAATTTTCCTGTTTTCTACACAATACTACACTCTGTTAAATATAAAAGAATATAGTATTAGGCAAATATAGAAAAATGATAAATAATAATGTAAAAATAAACAGATTTCTTGTATATTTTCATAAGTGTATTTTTTGTTTAAATTTATAGATAGTTTATCAAACAAATATTTTTTTTTGCAATTAACATGATGGAATATCTCTATTATGTTTTCATTATCTAAGTGTTATAAAAAATCTGATATTGTTGAAAACAATAATTGTACTTCATTTTTATTTTGTTATTAGCACAATTAAAATAACACAATTCTTTAGAAAAACTTGATATAGTTAAGAATTTAGAAAAAAGGGTATCTTAATGAAGTAATTAGGTTGCTACTTTCACAAAAGGAATATAATATTCAAAAGAATGTAGATTTCTAAAACAATATTAGCATTGCATATGTAATTATTTTTAAACAAATATTATTTATTCAATATTCAATTTAATTATATTTATTTATCTTTTATAGTTTTAAAGTATATTTCAATATCTATTTTTTTGTGGATTGTAGAATATAAATGATCTATTTGGAAATTATACGTATAAGGATGAAAATTACATGAAATATTTTATAACAGGTATACAAAGGTTATTATGGTCAGTAATTGATTTTCTTTAAATTAAAAAAGAATTTAAATTATGTAGAGATATATATATTTTAAGTATATATAACGAGCATTCATTAAAAGATTATTTGAATATTTATAATTCAATTGATATTTTTTATATTTGGTATCTTATAGAAAACTTGTTTAGCAAGAGGTACTAGAACATTACATAATAAATAGAAAGTTGAGTGTAACATCTTTATTATAATATACCTCAGTTGGAAGTCTCCTTTTTTATTATTTCTTTTCATTATTTAATTACATTTCTAGAGATATATATATATATATAGGCCAATAAAGTAGTATCAATAAAATAACCCATATTAAATAAACTATAGCTATAAAAAAAGCATGGTATTACAACAACCATAAAAAGGAAAAAGAAAAAGTATGTCATTACAATTCAAAAAAGACTTACGTTAAGCACGTAAAGAATGATTGTTTTATATAGATAATACTTAATACGATGTTATCTGTAATATGATAAAACATTTATGTAAATGTTTACAATGCATTTTTTCATAATAAATATGAAGGAAATATAGATTTATGCAAAAATTATCGATTTGTTTTGTATATTGATGGTTTAATATGATTAAAATCTTCCTGCTTTTTATAAAAAGTTAATAGACGAATTTACAAATATGTATTATTTTAATTATTATAACAACGTAAAAAAAAAGTTATGAGTCGAGTCATATTGACCAGGCTATCACCGCGGTCCCACTCCCGGGCGCGATCCCACTACTGCCCGCCACGGAGACTTTTGGCTGCTGGGTTTCCCCTCTGGCCCGGTTCGCCTCTCTCTAGCCAACCTGGCCATCCCAGAACTCCTTCAGGATGCCCATATTGATGGCGAGCTTAGCGCGGACGCCCAGTCGACGTGGTTCCGCAACGACAGGCGTCCCCCGCTCTCAGACCCTCCGTCATAACTAGCCTCCGAGTAGCTGGATTACAGGAGCCGCCACACTCCCAGCTGACAAACGTTGTTACTATTCATGTATTTAAGTCAAACTTACGACATACTTCTCGTAAAAAAGGATGTTATAATAAAATATTTTTGAACTTAGTTATTTTATAGATATTAATTAAGCTTATTGTGCCTTAAACGTAAAACTTTGAAGAAACAAATATGGCGAATATCGTATGTGCGCATATATATATTTGCGCACGTATGTACAAACTATATGCCAGACCATTCCTACGGTATTATTAACCGTGCATCGATAAAGAAGAATATTAGTCGATAATATAGTTACCCAAATTAACTATACTTACAGTTAATAAAAACATTAATCTAATAGAAATTTCTATATCTTGCTTGTGTAAAGATTTCTAGAACAAAATTTTGTAGTAATATTTAAAAAGTGACAAATAAAGTAATAGGAAGTAACGTATATAAGTATTTTTACAAATTTACAGTGGATAAGAAATTGTAGTACAATATGGGCAATTACATTAGAGTTAATATTATATGATTATAGAATCACATTAAATTAATATTTATGAAAAATAAATTTGTGAAATTGTATATAAAGTTAATATTTTTCATTTTGAGGTAATTATATAAAGGAAATAGAAACATCAGACTGTAATAGATTAACATTAAGCAGATTTCCATTTTACACTCAATAATATTTCTTTTCTGTATGTATACGTGTACACCTGCAGTAAATTTTGCATTAAATAAATAAAATTAATTATACGACGGATCATAACTTGTGCGAAACGGGTTGAGATAAAGGAAAGCTTAACGGGTGCGAGGAGTAAAACTGGATCTTCTTGCCGTTGAACCACTTTCAACGATTCGAATAATAGATGAGGAAAAAAGTAAAATAAGATGATGGGGTTGTACGTTCGTATTATTAACCGGTTGAAACGCACGTATTTCTTATATAAATTTTGTACCATATAGTTACGGTATGTTAGATGAATATTAATTTTCTTTGTACAAACATTGCAATTTTATACCTTTAATTCTTTTCATCTTTAAATAGCAAGACTATGCTTAGAAAAAATATTGCACGTATCGCATTATAATGTAGATCATATCGGGGTACTGGAAACAGAATAATATATAAATTTTAAAAAATTTTGTAATTTTTAAGGTATTATGTGCACCAAAAGAGAAAACTTTCATTGATGTTTCGAATATATTGTTTGAATATATTCATTGATTTTATAACAGACTTTTCCTCAATGTCAATCACAGAATTGTAATTTAAAAACCTTTATAATTTTTGATCTTTAAAAATATAAATAATTTACACATCTCTGCGGTACTATATTTTAATGAACTACATTTATCATTAAAACTGAAGGTATTAATAAATTAAATTACTAATGAACTGTATTGTTATCTTTCAAAATATTTGTTTCCTGTATATTTTGTTCCGTTTCGATTTAAATAACTTTTTTTTATCGAAAATATATAATGGCTCCTTCAAATTTATTTACTACTCCTATTTGAATATTACATTTCATCTTTCCATCAGCAAGACATAAACCATTTTAATATTTACGTATATAAAAATACTTTTTAAAATACGTATTTCGAAATTATAGTAACTATAATCTTAGTAACTATATATACAAATGAAGATCAATTTAGCATCGCTTTAGTAAATAATCTTCACTTAGATTCTACGTTTTACAGTTATTATCAATTGTTTTAGTATTTTGCAATTAATACCATAATTTTTTCTATTCGAATCCTTCTTCATGGCCGTATAAAGATAAAATGAAAAGATTACCAAAAGGACCAGAGACGGAGTCAGTAATAACTGAAACAGAACACTTTGCTACGAATGTAAATTTACGTAATCATATTGTACAGTCATTCAAACGATTTATCCAATAATATACATAAAATATGTATAAAATAATTAAGAATAAATCAGAATAGACACAAGAAAGTATTTGTATATTAAGTACTAGAACATTAAAATAATTTATATATATTTCCCCAAAGAAATTCTAAATTTGACGAAGAGTAAAAGAAAAGAAATTTAATATTAGAACAATTTCACTTTCGATAAATCTTTTCTTTTAATGTTCAAAAATATTTGAGCTTTTCCTCTTTGCATAGTTTGATTTCGACGAATCGAAACTTGCACCCTTCTCCGTGGAGGTTGAAAGAAAACGACCGTTACCATCTTTCCCCTCTTTTCAGTCATCATCCCTCTGAACGCAGCTTGTCCGAATAGCGAGCATCCCCTTTTTGTTAGCCCGGAAACAGGTAAAAATCTCCGTTTGCATGACCTTCGACCCCGTGGGATCGAAGAAACAGGGTGTATTGTGCCGAGAAATTTTCTCACGGGCTATCGTTACCGGTGTGCACCCGTCAAAACGACTATTTAAGGGCTGCTACTAGCCTCGATCTCGTAGAAGTGTTTCGCAAGTCGAAGAGGCGAGTTACCGAGTACCCTGGAGGAGGACTCGCAGGATATCTTCCGGCAATGGTGAGTCCCGTTTCTGGTAATTATATACACGGTCTTGGTGCTTCGATAGACTACGCAAAAATTTCAATTTGGGACGATCTTATTTTTTACTTGTTCTTTTTGTTTCTTTGGTTCGCTTATTTTATTTTTACCATTTTATTTTGGTCTTCATCGGCACTTGGTCGTTTTTGTCGTGAATTTGGAAATTAAAACAGGTTGAAAGTGATAAAAAAGAAAAAAGCAAAAAATAACAGTGGAATTTGTGGACGTTCTTTTTTGAATCGTTTTCGTGAACTGAAATGATTTTTGTCTGAAATGAGAACACGAAAAATCATCGACGGGAATAATTTGAAATTTGTGCCTTCTAATTTGTTTATCAATCAGTAAAATATAACATCGAAGATGTTTTAATTGCATTTAACATCAAAGTCTGAAATAAAATAATTCGATAGATACGTTTTAAACGAGTCTTTGTCATCGATTTTGATAAATTTCGTATGAACATTCAGCAAAAAACTCATTCGCCATTTCAGATTTTACAATTCCTCGTTATTATCAAATGAAATAAAAATTATTGTTTTAGGTCGTTAAAAAAGTTCCAGTATTTTATGTTCATTGTTAAAGAGTACAAAATTACACTTCTCCTTCATGAAATTGAAGGAACTTTCCATTCCTAAATTAGGGAACAAAATTTATACAATTTGTGTTTTTATTTTTATCAGTTGCTAAAAGATACCATATTAAATAGACTATTATATGTAATATATGAAATTAAATAAGAATCATTCGGTGGATCTGTTTCATAAATTTTTCTACGTAACTATGAGTCCTCTGAAGTAAAGGAAATAGAAATATTTGTAATTACATAAAATTTCAGACTGATACAGTTCTTTTTTCGATGATTTTCGTACCTCTATTGCAAGTAATTCC